AGCAGAATACACTTCAGCTGAGTCAAACCACAAGGAAATGGCCGTTGTTACTTCCTGCCCATCGACCGTTAGCACACATAAGAACACGTCTCCTCGTTTTATCGTCAGCGCACGTCGTGAAAAAGAAATGAGGGTGTGGACGGGGGAGCTCGGAGCAGCCACTCCGGACATGTTGCGCGCAATTAGCCAGCTGCAGAGGGACCGTATGGCTGTCGTGTCTCCTGTTGTTCCGAGGTGAAGACGAGGCTGTTTCTGAAGGCAGAGTGCCTGCTAAACAAAAGGAGCACCAACCCCCCCCCCCACACGCACACACCCACAACACACACACACACCCACAACACACGCACACACCCTCCAGAGCTCTGTTCAGCGCATTCAGAAGCCAGGTCCGCTGCCCTCGAAGCTGAGCGGTCACAGGCCGGCCCCTCCTGCTGTCCTGGTGTCAAGCCCGTGTCGTTTTTGCGGTGGGGAGGCACCGGGCTGCGCCGGCTCACACGCTAATTGTGTGAGATAGCAGCTTTATTTCATTTGGCCCGTGGCGGCTCAATCTCTCCACGCTTCTGTCCTCCATATGGAAATAACTGCAGACGTTTTAAATATTGGAAAGCTGCTGATGTATTACATATGACAGCTGAGCTAAAGAATACAATGCCTCCGGAGCATATTATACTACCTCGGCTGTGTCTGATATCACTCCCTATTTGATATGTATTGCACTATATTTACTTCATGCCATTTTATTGCAGAAAATGTATGGAATATATTATGTCATTTCCAATTGCCTCAATAGAAAAGTTTCAATTGCACTTTGAAAACACTTAATTCCTTTCTATAGGAATAACATAATATTTATTAGCGTCTCTGCTCTGGCAGCCTGTAAAGTCAAGAATGGAATATAACACCCTTCTCCACCTACATAGACATAATTAGTCAGGCACCATCACATTTTGAGGAGCGTATTGTATCCTTTTACCCCCCAGAAGAGATATTACAATACTACAAATTAGTCACTTGTGAACACAACATTAATTTAACTGATACATAGATACCAAATCTTTCTTATGTAAAAATGTTGTATGTACTCAAACTAGTTTTAGAAAATGAAACCTGCCATTTAGTTGATGTACCCACAGTATTGGATGAAAAGGGGAATCTTGTTGTGACCTGCTGTCACGCAGTGGCAGGGATTTCATCATGGACCTGTAAGAAAATGCAAATAAAAGAATGGAAAACAAAGAGCATATCTAAAAAGCTATGTACCAGAGAAAATGTATTTTTAGGGGACAAGTCTTGTCCGGGACCTTCACTGTAATCATGCAAATGAATCCACACTCGAATGGCTTCTGACAACGAATATGAGAAGTCCTTGAGTCACCCAGCCAGAACAGAGTTAAATCCCTTTGAAAATCCCTGCGAATAACTTAAAGACAGAGAGTCACATGTGCTCCTTGTCCAACTTGAGTAAGCTCGAGCACATCTGCATCTCAAGATGGGAGGAAATCACAAAATTCGTACGTGCAAAGCTGGCTTAAAAACGGAAACCCACGAGGACGGATAGCTGCAAATCACTGCCAAAGTTGCTTTAAAGATTGACCTTAAACTTTAACGAGGTCATTTAAATATAGTATTTGGTTTTTTATTGAACATTGTGGAAATAAGTTTTGACAGAATCTTTTTGTAGCAATTCACACCTGAATTCTCCACTCACTATCATCTAGCGAGCTTCTTATTATTACAGCAGTGGTAAAGGATATATGGAGTTACAGTAAAATCTCCATTGGCACAGATTATTCCATACAATTACGACTATCCTCCTGGCTTAGTTAAAACTGGAATAGATGTATGAATGGCATTGTTTTCGACTGCATATGCATTTGTATAGACATGGGATTCCAAATGGTTTCCTCAAAATGCTGCCAAAGTGGTTCCTTATTATCCCATGAATAAATACAGCCCAACATAAATCCCCCCCACCCACCCACCCACCCTTCTCGCCGCTTTTTCTTCCATCCCGTAGTTGAGATGTCGGCGCTATCTCCAAAGTGAGTGCGGAGAAGCAATATGTGGTGTGACAGCCAGCCCGGGTCACAGCACCCCATTTCAGCAAATAGGCATGACTTATTTGCAGGGCTGGGGGCTTTGGGGTGTGCGGCCAGGACGATATTGACAGGATCATTTGCATGTCTGCCAAGTTGCAGGCGGCAGTGTGGCTGAAGGGGAGCTACTAGGGAATAGATAGGATGCGACGACTTCTCTAATCTCCCTCTGCCCAACCGGTCGGAGGTTGTGTGGAAAGTGATCGTCCGCTGGCTGAGACTGGACGAGCTCCGATTGTGTTGTCTCTGTCAACCCACAGGCAGAAACCACTTTTCCCCCAAAGTTAACTGGGTAGTATCTTTTTTGTTGGAGAATTGTCAGCCTCACCGGTCGCAAAACAATAAACATCCATGTTTTTTTTCTTCTCTTGAATTTTAGTTGCTACATAAAACCCAGAGTCAGTAAAAATAACTAGAGAAATGTTGCCTGCAGGAAGTTTTACGTCATGTGTTTGCATTTGGCACTGAGAGTAGCTCAAAATGTGTCCCAGACAAGATACAATTAGTTTGTTTGAGTGACATAAAGTTTGTGTTGTGAACTGGAAGCCACGGTTTGGTTTAGAACCTGATCAGAGGAGTATGACTGTACACACATTTTCAATTCTCATTATATTCCCCTTTGATGCTTAAAGTCATATCAAATCCATGGTTGTTGTTCCTGACACACATATAAATAAGCTTCTTTGTATCCTGCTACATTTTCATCCACTCTCAGATTCTACTATACTCTAAACTTCTAAATCTACTTTCTTTTCTGTTTTAAAATACAATAAGCCAGCCATAATGTTTGGACTTTGTTGGGACCGTCAGTTTGGCCTCATACCCCAAAAAAGATCACATGAAGGAAACAGCCCTATGCTCTCAAACCCATTGTACAGTTGTACAGCCCAACAACTTGGGGGTAATAAGTCCATGGTTGAGTGTGCATGAACGTTTGAATCAGGAGTTACAAATATTGGTCATTTCTAAACGCCACAGATTGTTCCGTACTTTTTGGCATATAGACAGTTAGCTACAAAGACTTTCCAACACAATGGCAGGTCTACATGGCACTTTATTCCCCAGTCCACCATAAGCAATAGAACATACAGACACGTTGTTATCTCTTGTGGACATCGGTACTACTGGTAGCACTGGATGCTGATGTCTCAAAATGTCCTTAGAAATGTCAAGGACAGTTTGCCTTGATGTTAAAGTGTGTGTCTAATGTGTGCGATGGTCTATTTCTATGTCTGAAATATGAGCTTTAACATGTTCAAGAAAGCAATTTTGTTCGGTTTGGAGGGAGCGAAGCGTCTATAAAACAATGGTTTTATTTCATTAAGGCACTTTAGTTTGGAGCACAACTGGGTCCTAGTCCAGGGCTTTTAGTAATTCAAGCATCACTTATATTATTGGTCCTAATTAATCTCTAGCAGCAGTAAACTGTGTCCCTTTCATGGCAAAAACGGCCCAATATTTAGTTCAAACAAGAGTAACATGCATATACTGTAGTCATGAATGTAAAAAATATCGACACTTCTTTTGCATATTTTTTGGAGTAAATCGTTGCTATAGCTTTTGTGAAAGAGTACAATAATATGTATATGTATTTTAACGGCAATGCACCTCCATTTATTGCTGCATGAGTACCACAGAGAAATCCTATATTGAGGGTTTCTTCTGCTGCACCGTCATATCGCCTTGTGCCTTCAGGCACTCGAGTGCTGATGAGAGGAGCCAGTGTTGATACTGAGGAGACTCTGGGTACTCTGGGAAGCGGAAGACGCTCCTCAACAGCTCCTTCAGCACAACGGGAGCTACAGCCCGACCGGTTGAAGGGTCAAGTGGAACAGCAAATGAAGAGCCAAAACCGCTTTGCTCCAACAACACCGGTGTGTGTGCTTTTGACCTTTTACACTCATCAGGACACGCACCCCAAAGGATAACCAGCCTTTTACTGGTTAATCAATGGCGCCAAGAGTCCTTTGACCGTGCGTCTCAATATTTCAGGGCTGAACCAAAATAATAAGCCAGCGTCTATCTGCAAGGGCTGACAAGGAGAGGTCGATACATTTGCACTTTAGCTGCAGATTGATGACAGTGACCATCAATTAGGTGGTGAGCGTTTTGGGCAAAACAGAAAGAGGCATGAAGATAAAGATTTTTTTAAATATAAAGACCAGGAAAGAAAGAGACGTTAACGCGATCAGCTAGCCTTATAAAGAGCTCAGAGTCCCCGCAGTGTGATATGCGGCAGATAGATCATATCACACTGCGAAAAACAAAGCAGCCCCTTTACAATCCCTCCCGCCGCTCGGCTTTTTTGCTCCATCGCCTGCTTTTTTCCCTGTAATACTGCAGGTTTATCCACCTTATCTCTCACCTTTTCTATATTTATCTGTATAGGGCTTCAGCTCTTTTAATGGAGGTCACCTGCTTATCCACAGCGGAGCATCTTTTAAAGGGAAAGTCACAACTCGCTGTCTCTCGTGGTCTATAGGCTTACAATTCAGCTTTTTGTCCAGAAAGATGAAGTATGATACTATGATTTCTTATTTTATTCAAAGGGTAATAAAATAATTTGAAAGTATTTGAGGGATTATGTTTTTAAGTTTTAGGTCTCGGAGTTTCCCAATGCGGCGCTTTGGCTGACATTGGGAAAGCCTACAAACATTAACATAAGACCAAGCCGACCAAGCAACAGTCCTGTTCAAATCACCTGTTTCAATCTGAAGAAATATCAAAATGATTCTTGCTACAGGACATTAACATTAAAAACTGGTAATCCTGCATTCAGGCACTCAATTTTTATAAATATAAGTCTTTATTTATCTCTCGCGGGTCTTGTATGTTGTGTGTATATTGTGTAGATACATTTTTCTATTTAATTTTAACAACAAAGTATTCTGTACATGGTGCAAATTGGTTTCTATAAAGTTGTTTTATTAGTGATAATATTTTGACCAGCCAGCTCTTGACCAGGCATCGAAATGCCGTAATACAGCATTCAGTTGTAGTGTAGAATCCCATAAAAGTCATCGTATTGTTTGATTTTCTAAACTTGGGTTTAGCAGAAGGACAGGAAGGAGTTGCATTTCTCAGCGGTGGAGTGACAGTGATTGTCCATGAGTTTGAGAAGTTTATTCATTGTAGATAAGAGGACCTTTTGGATTTGCGGAAAAGGAGTGGAGTTGCCGGGGGTAGTAGGTAGAGCGCCCAGTATTAAGACACAGTTTGAATTGCTGACTGTAATCTTCCAGGGTGTGTGCTGTTAATCCGGTTTCATTGGAAGGCTTAGCCCCGAACCGTAGCAAGGAACCCTCAGCGACTGTGACTGGAGGCAGGGCGATGGCATCTTCACGCTGCTAACTGGTTGTTTCCTTTTGTACTGGGCCGGAAGTGGGGATGTCCATGAGTTGGCTTCCTGGGTGTAGATATTCTTCCTTGCAGCTCGTTGATTTTCTTGGCCAGACGGGCGCAGCTGACATAGTCGGATGGAGTCCAAAGACTTTGCAAGATTCACATTCTCAGATTCAGTAAAAACTCCAGCAGAACTTCCAAACACCCTCAGCAGTGTCTGGACTCCTCGGGAGGATTTATACATGGCTGCCGCTTAGAGCAGACACAGCGCAATCTCAGATCCCCTCGTTGAGTTGAGCAATAAATGTTAACGGATCATTCACTTTTCTTTCAAAGAATATTATAGCAACAAATACCACAGTTATCATGCAGCTTTTCCCAATAACTTGCTTGGAGCTTGGCTTTTTATAAACATACTGAATTCCTTGTAAAATACAATACAGTAAACCGTAACACAAAATCAACAATAAACAAATGCTAATCTAGTTTGCTGCTGTCTTTCCGAAGAAGCTTCCTTCCTCGTTGGACGTCTAAGGCTTCGGACCGGGCCGTGACGACTGGGGACCCGGACCTCTCGAGAGCAGTGAGAACGTGGGTCTCCCCGACGAGACTTGGCCTGCGCGGACAGTGTTGGGTTGAAGAGGCCAAGCAGCTGAAAGCTGGAGAGTCTGAATCCGTAATCCTATCATTTGAGGAAGTTTCCTGGAGATACTGTGGTCTCATCCTCTCACCGACGAGAGTCGGCCTGCAAAGAAACAATTTGGAGGAGAAATATGTTATCATCTCAGCCCAAGGCAGAGGAACCCATGTGGTGTCTGTGGCTTGATCAATCGGACCGCTGAGCGAAGTTACGCATAGGTGTGTTTATCGGGGGGGCTGTTGTCCTGTAGAAGCACTGAAGGCCCCAATTGAGGCTTATTTTACATGCCATGTTGGAAGCACAACAAAAACGAGCAGTCATTAGATATGTGTAGTCGCATGAAAACCTATTTTTTGTCAACATTTTTACCATTTTCCCCTGATAAGCAGGCCTGATCAAGAAATGTCAAACTCTTAAAGGGGACATTTTATAAAAATTCCACTTTTTTAGTGCTTCTACACGTTAATTTGGGTATCTGGGATGTCAACTGACTCCAAAAAACGACTCCCGCGATTTGTTCTTTTACGTTGTGACGGAACGTCCGTCACTTGCTGCATACGCAGCACTCACACACAATCAATCACACACACACACACACACACACACACACACACACACACACACACACACACACACACACACACACACACCAAACAGTTTAGAAAACGAGAAGCAGGTGTAGTGATTGCATGCCATCACGAGCCAGAGGTTGTCAATTAGCCTGATGGGAGGGGCTTAGCATTTTTAAGACAAATCCAGCAATATTGACTACAAAAAATAATGGAATGATTAGAATAATACAATAATTACATTTCGACCACACATCAGTGGACAAATGACGCAGGTGATGATGACCCAGGGGAGGCAAGGCTCAAACCACGCAGGAGTGTGGATGGTGGATGGGACAAGGGAGGGGACAGAGGGGAGGGTAGCTAGCTAATTAGCATTAGGACCTTAAACTTGTCGTTTGGAGCAGAGCCGTTTCAGGCAGGCTATAAAGGGTGCCCTTAATAATTAGTCTTTTGGTATTTTGTCCAAATGATTTTTTAGACATTTCATTTAGCTGACAAACTTGGGGTAAAAGGGCATACTATATCCCCTTAATGTCTTGTTTACCATCATTGTTTTGTGTGATTTGACCAAATATCTGATACCCAATTGCCTTTGTGTATCTATGTGACAATACGTAACACATTTTTTTAGCCAAGTTTTATGAAAACAAGATATAGTATATGTCTGTCTATCGGATAGATAGATATTTGACCCGAGGGTGTTTAGGCCAGATGCAAATTTGTCTTTTTGATTAATTCCTGTTCGAAGCTGCCTTTCTCCGGTGTTCTAGGATCACCTGTGTTGCTGCTTGGAGAGCCGGGTGGACATATTCCGTCCATCTTAACGGTGCATGCTCTGTCAATGCTGCAACTTCTTTAAAGCCCAGCTAATTGGCAGATATTCTTTCTCTTCGGTTGATTAACTGGTATACGTATTCTAACAACCTACAGCTAATATATGTCACCGGGTGTTCCTCCCCTCCTTTTAACCTGGGAGGGCTCCAACTGCTGATCCCGAGGCGTTTGTATGTTCTCGCTGCGTAAGGACCTCTGAAGCGGGAAAACGCTCTGCTTTGACACTGCAGAGAACAGTGTGGGGCCTACAATGGAAAGGGGATAAATCAGTGAAAATAGGCCAGTAATCCCTTTAAATATTTTACTTAGCATTTTTGTGCCCTTGGCCAGGTGTTGATGGGCTCCTTTGGGATGGGTTGAGGTTGTACAACGCCTTCACCGACAGTGTAGCCGAGGCCCTCTGCCTCTTCTAGAGGTTATATTTTTTGGGACTGGCGGTGAGGCCTTCTCGCCATAGTCATGCACTATAGGGACTATGTGAAGGTTTACAGTATAATTTGCAAAAGGGTAGCGCATAGTTTGATATCGCAATACTCACAAAACGTATAGAAATAATAGGTTTGGGTGATCTGTGATGATCCACCCCAAGTAAAAGTGCTCCCCACCATCCAAAAAACTGTCCTTTAGCCGCTGTGAGAGGCTGCTGACTCTTCAAGACCCTCCAATTTAATGACCTGCAAGAGAGCATCTTATCTGCATGGCTTGATGTAAATCCGGACACTTACATCCCAGATGAAGCCAAAAGCAATGTCATTCAGCAGCAATATAGATCACGTGCTCTCCGTGAAGAGGCACTGAAGACATGTTCACAGGGCGGGATTGTCGTTAAGTGGACTAAATAATGGACTCATTTGACTAAAGACTTTTAAAACTCATTTATCCCAGAAGAGGAGAAATGGGCTAAGGAGTAAACTCACATTTAAAGCACTGCGTGTTGGGGCTTTATTAATATGCCATCCTCCTTTCGGCTTTTTTACAGCCATATGAGGGCGGCAAGGGATTTGAGGCGTGTTGTCCCCATTTTTTAACAATCGCTGCAGCTGCATGAACAAAGGAAGAAGCTGGAATTATCAATGCGAAGTAACACGAGACAATGGTGCTCGCGTATCACTCAAAACACAATTGAAGCACATGTGCACCCACATAAATACAATGTCCATGTCAGTGCATGTGCACAAGTACACAAGCATGCACTGAACAAGATTCACACCGTATCAGTTTATACACACACACACACACACACACACACACACACACACACACACACACACACACACAGATACTTACCAAAGCCATTGTTTCTAAGTAAGGCAAGTTGTCCAATCAATAAGACCACACACAACTCTTTGCAGCACATTATTAGAAAAGACGCTACCACCAGCTCACGTATCCTTTCCCTTTAGTCCAAACAAAGAGCCTTGGAAGTCTCCATGAGCCGCGCTACAAACGAAACCAAGGCGGTACACTGCCATCTGGTGAGAGAAAGAAAGTCCGACTAACAAGCAGCAGTTACAGGCTAATAATGGAAGACTCGCCTGCCTAATGACCATTGCAAGTGGTGGTGAACTGCTTTGTCTTTTAATCTCTAACATTGTCTGTGCCGCCGCTAAGTGGCTCAAATAGAGCCTCGTTTATTGTTACTGTGAAACCTCGTGAGCACACGCACGCACCTACAAGGGAAATGCGCGCACACACACATGCGGAGATCCACACACTGGTGCACTCACACATTCCCACAGGTGAGTCAGACATGTATTATGTGTGCGCTTTTCACCGGGATGGAGGGCTTACAGCCCGAGCGAAAGGGCCGCTTTGAACTCTTTCGATGTGCATTAGCATGCTAATAGCCCGCTCCCTTTGTTACCCCTCTGATCTGGGAGAATGTCAGGGCTAATCTGTGCGATGCCTAATGACGGCAACGGGCCGATAAACACTCGCCTTTGAGTCTGCAGCGACGGCAGCGCTTTGGGGGATACGTGCCCATCATGTTTCTGAATGACGCTGAGAAGAGAGGAGAGCATTTTTCATGGAGCCCTTTTGGGGGAATTTATTTTGTTTCTCTTTGTATTCTTAATTCTTTTTTTTGTGTACTGTCCACTCTCCAAACCAGCTCAGATGAGTTGTGGGATTAGCTTTTTTTTTTTTCCACTTGCCGCCCCAGTGAGAACAGATCCTTCACTTGCTCTGTATCTTCTCTGTTTTTAGTGGGAAGAGCACGTCATCCCTGAAGATTACAAACGATCTTATAGCCAGAACGAATCAAGTCACTCACAAGGATTTGCACCCTCGCAAAAAGCACACGTGTTTAGCCTTTTAGCTTTCGCTTAAAAAAAACCACTGCATAAAATCACTAAATAAGTCGCTGCTGCCTACGCATAAGAATATTTCATCAGAAAATAACTATTAATACAGTAACAGCATGAGTACCAATTAAACTACTTTTGTTACGTCCACAGGAAGCCAGAAAACTTTTAATCTGTACATTTTGCATTCACATCAGTGTTGCCAGGGAAAACAGAGTCTTTAGTTTTTATTCAATTGCACTTCCATACTCACAAATAGTGTAGAAAATGTTCAATGTAATTTGTGTGAACTTTTGATACATTCCCTCAGAGCTCTAAATGCACTTCATGTGGTGATCATGAGCCATTGGTCTGTATTTTCAAAGTTTTATCCATGCAAATGCATTTTTTGTTTTCTTACACAAAATCTGGGTTTCCTTCCACAAATGGGTTTTTTTTTCTTCATTTTTTCCATGTAGAATCAACTCGGAGGGGCATTATTATGTTATCTGGAAGTATTAAAAAAAACAGTCTGAAAAACTGAGACAAGATCTGGAGTTATGACTTTTAATACCATTTTGAAGACAAGTTATTAAAAAGCTCTACATATAACCATGTGCTTCAGAACTCATCACTCCAGATCCTGTATTTAGGCTAGATGACTTTGCGATAATAAAACTAGGGATCTGATGGATGTCTCCGTGCAGGAATTACTTCACTGAGACATCATAAACTCTACCTTGAGGTAAACTGGTAGCATATTTGTTTCTTTCCTCGTGCTGTTATCGCCAAAGGGGTGAAGAAAATATGTAAATGAGAACAAGTGAGTCGTTAGTTTGGCTGAATTAAAACACAGTCTGGGTGATGATGGAGAGCCAGAGGAGGCTTTAGCACAGTTTGACCCTCTCCTTGCCAGAGGACGAATATGAGTTTTGGAGTTGGCTGAAACAGGAGGAATTCGAGAGAGATTTGTTCATGTCTCTAATGTTAAAGACAGAATCGCAAACTGTGGTTTGCCAAGTTAGTCACAGATAAAAAAAGCTGTGGACACATTTTTTTTTGGTCCACAAACTGACACAAAGGCAGGTTGGCTTCACGCAACCTTTTCCAGCTCTGAATGTGTCGTATCCGAAATAAAATCATCTCTCGCACTAACTATTTAAATGTGTGAAAATGTTGTAGTTTGAATGATTAAAACTGTAATCATTTAAAAAGATATCCTAGTTGCAATCAATCATGAGTGACAAATAACTATAATTTAAGAGCCCCCCAAAATGTGGCTGTGGAGGCTTTAAGGGGGTGTGAAGTGTCACTTAAGGGGTCTCAGAATCACGAGGGACCCCTGTATTTCACACATTGGTTTTGTTTCTGGGGCGAATTAATGACATAATCCAGAAGACAAGGAGCGGGGTGATTTCTCCACTGGGTGTACACACTGTAGGCCAACTCTTCTGTACAGAGCTAAATGATCTGCAGCGATATACATTTTGGGCCCCGGACGGATTGGTGCCTTATATGAATAAGTCAATATCACTTATAATAACATAACATTTCATTACAAAAGAGAAGGGTTTATGACAGCCCTGTGTCAGGACATATGAGAGTATATGATCCATAACGGCGAAGGTCATCAGTCTGCTTTTATTTCAGGTGTTTTGCTGTGATGGGCGTCACGCTGGTCTGGTGGTTATCACTGTTGCCTCTCAGCAAGAAGGTCCCGGGTTCTAACCCGCCCAGCGGCTGGGGCCTTTTCTGTGTGAAGTTTGCGTGTCCTCCCCCATGCCTGCGTGGCTTCTCACCACTGCGACCTCCTTCCACACTCCAAAGACATGCAGGACCTTAAATGGTGACTCTAACATTGCCTGTAGCTGTGCCAATGGGAGAGTGTATGGCTGTTTGTCTCTAGGTAAGAGACTTAACTGGCAGCCAGGCCTGGGTGTTGCCCCTCCCTCCTCCTCCCCAGCAAACCTCACAGGCTAATCGTATAGAACGTGACTGACTGTTTTGCTCTAATTTGTGCAATTGGAGATAACAAACAATAGCATTTTGATTTGTCATGCATGTCAGCTTTAATCACACCTTACAGATCCCGGTCCATCCTGACAGACGCCCCTTTAAAGATCTGATCCAGATCCGCAAGCAACTCAATTCAATTCATTCATTTAGCAAATGAGTGATTGATATGTGAATGGACGTGTGACTGCTGTCGGCTGACGGTTTTCTCCCCGAGCCTGTCCGTTGGTGTATCGGGGCGGCAGAACCCATCAACACCTTATTATCAGACGCCGCCATGCTCCCTTCACCGGAGGAGAGCCGTTCTAGGGGAGTGCTGGGCTGAGTGGAGGCTATCTGCATGGCCACAGAGGCTTATCAGGGACAGGTAGCGTTTAACACCTGGCCCACACAGACATTACGTCCCCGCTCTTTATGGCTACAGTATGCTGCCGCATTACGAGCCAAAGAGCGGCGATCGGATCGCAAAATTAAAATCCCTTTCAACCCCGGCAGATGGAGCTGGGGACAAAATGAGAAAAGGTGGGGGTTGCTGGAAAAATGACAAAACACAAGCACGCATTGTGGCTGTTTGGGTGTGTGGGGGTGAAGTGGGGGGGTGTCGCCCACCGCCCCTCCACCACCACTTTGAATTTAATGCCAATGAAAAGCGTGGCGGGCTGGAGCCACACACAAAGCCAAGGTTAACACAAAGATGAAGGGGGGCGATACGGTCACTCGCGCTCGGCTGAAAGGGAACCCTGATGACTTTTCATTCCCAATGTTCATCTTGTTATCTGTAATTGTTATAGAATGGGGCGCTGCTAGTCGCAGGCCGGGCCTTTTATAGTCGGAGTGTTATCCGGCGTGCGAAAATTGATGCTCGCCGCTGGGAGGGGAATGGAAAGGCAGGCATGTGACCGCGTCGCGCGGGGGAAGGTGTCTTTTTGCATCCTGATGTCACGCATGTTGTGAGGACACTCCCTGGGGCGGTGGTGGTGGTGGTGGCTTGAGTGTCTGGATTATTAAAACCTTATCTTTCCTTTTTTGCCTGCGCGATGGACAGAAGTGCTGATTGAAGAGAAAATAATGGTGAGACACGACGGCAGCAAGGGCACATTTCATAAAACATGAGCACACATGCCGATGGTGACACATGGGCGTCTACACAAAGTAGGGAATCAAAAGAATACTTATTTAAGAATGAACATTTCACAGCCTGCCCATTTTACTTTGTTATTGCAGATAAGCAGCACGGCCAAATGCTATTAATATGAATCTCTGGGGATGTTACCTGCCCAAGAAGTATTCTGAACAGGTTGGATTGACCCACTACAATTTAGCAGAAAGATTGAAATAGCTTTGTTCCGACCATGATTCAATTTTTAATCTCATTCAGCATCTGGTCAGTGTGGCAACCTCCAAATGTATTGCATTTGATTAATTCTGTGGAAACCTATGCTTTACCCGTCTTATCATTTGAGGTGTATTGAAGACCCAAGAAATAACTTCATACTCTTTAAAGCACTTCCAGGGGAGCATCATCATTTTCTTTGAACCACCAGTTCAGTTTATTTAATTGTGATAAAGTGAAGTGTAATTATATTTTGTAGTGTACCAACTTATCCTCAACCACTCTTTGCGAAGGCTGTAACTGCAGGAAAATTGATGTCAGCCTTGGGCATGAGACTAAAGAGAATCTTACTAACAAACAAATACCTAGTTATACCCTAAAACTATGTATTAATGTTAGGATTTTAAATGTTAGGATTATGAAAGAAGAATAATAGTCTACAGTCATGCAAGCAGCTTTCCTAGTCCCACTTGTGCTTTGAGGTAATTGCTGTCATCCATGCACGCTAACGCTTATTATCAGCAGGCAGACCTAGGATTTGTCCATGCACATGACAGCTAACCTGCACTCACGCAACTGAAGAAAAGCAGTTTGTAAGAATAATTAGGGGCTCTGTGTGTAATGGCCTGAAAGTGTAAGATGTCCCCGTAATCCGTTCAATAGTTATATATTTCAGCCTGAACTAAAGTCTGACAGACATGGCCGTCCTTAGGTCCATGCTGTTAGCATGATTAAACACACACAGCGGCAGACAACAGAGCAAGCTGTTGTGCATGAGCCAAAGGAAACCGGAATAGCATCAGATTTTCACAAGGAATGTCTCATATGTACTTCAT